GTCGCTGGGGGCCCACCATGAGAAGTTTGAGTTAACAGAAAACACAGGGCACTAAAGTCACCAGGAGCTGAGTTCCAATTTTGTTATCATGTACATAAACACTTTGGGCAAGGAACCTAGACATTCTAAATATATCTGGTCATTTATTTAAAAAGCAGTTCTCAAAGTGTGGTTCCAAGTGTTTCTACATTAACACACGGGAACTTGCTGAAACTGCAGATTCCATGGCCCTACTCCAGAGCTACTGGGTTGGAACAGCTCAGTCTGGGACTCAGGAAACTGAAACTTCGACACGCTCCCAAGGGGATTCTTATGCACATTAAAGTTTGAAAACCACTGAAATAAGAGAATGAACCTGGAATGCAATAGAGCCTTCAAAAATGTTTTCTTCTCGTGAGGAAAAGCAGTAAGATGATGTGAAAATGAGATTTTAAAAGTGCATTTGAATAGCTCTGCATTTCATCATTTAGAAATTTATTCTAAGGAAAATAGAGAGGTAAACCACAATATTCAAACCAATGTGGCTAAAATAATTTTAAAAATGGAAATGAATTCAAATGTTAATCATAGGGATTTGGTCTAGTTAATGACAGCACACCATAAAATGAAACGTACTTTCATTAAAATGGTGCTTAATGGGGCAGCAGGTGGCTGGCCGACCACGGTTTGAATCCCAGACCTGGTGGCTTTCTCATCCCCCCCTAATTTGGTCAAATTAAAATAAATGAATAAATAAAATTAAGTAAATAATTATTTTTTAAATGGTGCTTAATAAGGGGGCCAGCAGGTGGTGTGGTGGTTAAGGCCACTGGACTCCCACGTGGCTGACTACGTTCGAGTCCCAGATCTGGCAGCTTGCCTTCTCTCTTTCTCTCTCTCTCTCTCTCTCTCTCTCTTTCTCTCTCTCTGTCCCTCTCTGGTCAAATTTTAAAAAGAAATAAAGTTGAATTTTTTTAAAAAAATAGTGCTTAATAAAACTACATGAGAAAGTGCTCAAGGTAGGTAAGTGAAAAAAATCTACATAAACTACAATCCCAATTATCCAGTGCATATGTGTGTGTGTTATATTTAAAATGCCAGAAAGAGTCATTAGTGGTTGTCTATGGAATTAGGGTAAAACCATTTTTTTCTTCTGTATCTTTTTAGAATTATTTTATTAGTATTATTCTTTCTAATTTTTTTTTTTTTACTTTTTTGAGAGTTTTTTATTATTCTTTCTAATTTTTTTTTTTTACTTTTTTGAGAGTTTTTTTGCTATAGGATACATGCGCTCACCAGAGAGACAGAGAGACAAAGCGAGAAATCCACCCCCCCCCCCCAGTGGGGATGGCCGTGCCACAATCCCTTCTCCTCCATTATCCTCTTGGGATCTTGGGCACACACGCACATGCACCTGGCGTTGAGTTTAAGCCACCGGGTCTGGGACTCAAACAGCAGTTGACTACATGGGAGTCCAGCGACATAGCCATTAGGCCATCTGCTATTCCCTATTCTTTCTAATGTGACCAGAGAAAAATTAAGAAAGTGAGAAAGCAAACTACCAGATCTGGGTCTTGAATCACATTCAGCAATGTGAGAGTCCAGTGCCTCAACCACCATGCCATCTGCTGACCCTCCCCCCCCTTTTTTTTAAGTTTTGCTATAGGGCACATGTGTTGTACAGAGAAAGACAGGAAGGGGGAATGAGTGAGTAATCACCCCCTAGGGAGGATGGACATTCCATAATCCTCTCTACTCCATTCCTCCATTTTCCTCTTGGGATTTTAGGCACACATACCCACTGCACTTTTCAAGTCGCCAGGTCAGGAACTCCAACCACACTGCTGGTCATGTGGGATCCAGCTACCTTGACCTATGTCACCTGTTGGCTCTCTTCTGTATTTTACAATTTTTCTCCAATGGGGTTTTACAATCAGAAGCAATATAGATTTCTGATAAAAATAACTATATGGTTCTCCTTTAAAATATACTAAAATTTAAAGATGACTCAATAGAAGGGAATCAAAACTTTTAGCTATGTAAATTTGGCAGCAATTCATTCCTATAACTTTTAAGAAAACTTGTCCTGTGGGGCCGGCAGGTGGCGTAGTGATTAAAGGTGCTGGACTCCCACATGGCCAACCACAGTTCGGGTCAAAGACCTGGCAGCTTGTTTTTTTACTTTCTCTCTCTCTCTGTCTCTTCTGGTCAAATTAAAATAATAATAATAAATAAATAAATATTTTTTAAAAAGAAAACTTGTTCCAAAGAGCTACACAAAACCCAGTCTCAAAGAAAAGCCTCAGAGGCTGTCTAATTTTCAATGCCAGAGAACCTTCTGGTCTCTGAGATATCTATTCCTAGGCTCCACACCCCACTCCCCCACCCCCTTCCCCTCCACCTCCAGGTTTTTATTTCAAAGGCCTGAGGTGGGGTCAAGAAATCTGTTTGTTTGTTTGTGTGTTTCCTTTATGTTTCTGTGATAAGAGGGGTGGCCACGTCCCATCTCTCCCACTCCATTCTCCTCCTGGGATTTTGGGCACAGATGCACATGCACTCAGTGATTTTCAAGCCCTAGGTCCAGGACTCGAACCACGGCTGGCCATGTGGAAGTCCAGGACCCCAGTCATTATGCCACCTGCTGGTCCCAAGAAACCTATAATTTTAACAGTAACAAAGTAATTCTAAGAAGTGCAACCAGGTTTGAGAAACCATAATGGAACATACTCTTTCATTAAAATGATATTTAATAAAACTACATGAAAGTGCTCAGGTTAGCTAAGTGGAAAAGAAAATGTACATAAACTACATGGACAGCTTAGAAAAAAAATCCCTACTGATCTGCTTTGAAGGTTCCCACACTGAATAAAAGATCTTCAAAAGATAGTTCTCAAGGGACCAGCAGCAGTTGGCGTAATGGCTTCGTGGCTGGACTCCCACGTAGTCAACCCCGGTTCAAGTCCCAGACCTGGTGACTGAAACTGACGCCTAGTGCACTTGCGTGTCCAAGATCCAGAGAGGAGAATGGAAGAGAAGGGATTGCGGAGTGGCCATGGGGGGGTGGGGGGAGGGTCCTCTATCTGGCAAGCGTACATGCCCTGTAGCAAAAACTTCTCCAAAAAAAAAAATAAAATAAAGATAGTTCTCAAATAATTTAATTTGTATGCATCTCTGAAAAAGAGCACACCATTATTGGCTCATCTTAAAAGTTGATACTGAATACTTACATTGTGATACATTTAAAAAATAAATAACTAGTTTTACTGCCCTCCACATCCACGCCACAGATTATGTAGTCAGACGGTTTGACACAATTCTGTACTGTAGGCGTTCGCAGAAAATGCATATTATGCAAATTTTATGCACGAATCTCAACATTTTTTGCACCACAATAAACATGTACTTTAATTCCATTTATCCAAGAACCTTCTAAAGTCTCCTCCTACTGCTCTTTAACAGATGTTTTTAAACTGATCAAAGCTATGAGCCTTCTCTCTTAAAATGCACCCAAACACTTTTTTTTTTCTGATTTTTGCAATTTCGTGGTGTTTAGAGTCTCTACAAAGGTCAAACCTGCTCAAGAAGATAAAATACCAAATAGATAAACTAGCCCAATGAAATATTTTATCTCCTGCCTGAGAGGCATGCCAGTACTCCTCGCCCAGGTGCCAGGAATAGATAGCCCTCCACGCCCGTCGAATCCCGATTTCTCACCGGAATCCTATTCATCCAGACCTAAAACTCCCGGACTTGCCAGTATCCTCGATATGATCTTGTTTGTTTAAAAACTAAAAAAAAAAAAAAAAAAAAAACAAGAGAAAACTAAACCCAAAGTGAGAATAAAAGTCATAATTAAAAATTAAAACAGAAATTGATAAAATTGAAAACAGGAATCAATGGAAAAAACCTAACAAAACCTAAAGTTGGTTCTTTGAAGTAATCAATAAAATGGATAATCTTCTGTCTTCAAATTGTATTGATTCTCATCAGATCAGTTCTTTTTTTTTTTTTTTTTGAGAGGTTTTTGCTATAGGGCACGTGTGCTTGCCAGACAGACAGAGAGAGCAGAGAGAGACATAGAGACAGAAAGCGAGAAATCACCCCCCAGGGGGGATGGTCACGCTGCAATCCCTTCTCCTCCATTCTCCT